TCGAGTCTCGCCTCAGAATCAGACCATTATCTGCCGAATAATTACTCATGCGAACAAAGTTTGTAATCTACCGGGATTCTCTAAGCTAGCGATAAATCAACCATCGTAGCCGTCCATCATAGTCGAACTATCAAATACGAGCGAGAGGAAAATCATTTTCGAAGAATATATCGCCGATTTTGAACAGGTTTCCCGTCTGCCCACCTGGCTCTTCCTTTTTTTCTCTCCGCCGTTCCGTTTCCCGTTTTGCATGGATGTTCAAAGTTCAACGATTGTAATCCAGTCACGGGATAGCCATTTCATGCGTGTAAAATTCGAAGGTGCGCAGACATACGAACACACCGCGAAAGCGAGTGTATAATCGACACGTACGCGAAACTGATGGAGATAACGTATGATTCCGTGCTACGGTTTATGCACTGCTTACCGTGTACACGAAGATTGCATGTGTCGCACATTTTATCTACTGTGCGAATCCACCGAGGAAAGTATCTCCAAATATTTTTTTTTTTTTTTTTTTTCACAATCTGAAAAGCATGTAGGATCGGCTTAATCGGTGAATTTAATTTATATTATTTGAAGAGATTTTTAGAGCGATTTTGGAAATTTGTATATCCATTTTTATATTCTTGGAAAACTACACCGTTGAGAGAAAAGAATTGCTCATTCTATCTTCCTTAATTAAACGAAGAAGAGTGAATTTCGATCTTCTTTTCTAAAGTATTAACATCTTTTAAGACATTACTTATGATGGTCTAAAGCCCAAGACACAACGAAAAGGAATAGCTTTCAAATCAAGAACAAAATATGAATACCGGCTCTAATCTTCTAGTTAGATTTAATAATATCCTATTAAATTTTATATAATCAATTTTCAATTATTATTTTTAAGCATTATTAGGTAAAGAAGTAGTTTTTGGTAGAAAACGATTTTCCGTTGTAACGAGAGGAAGTCTTTTCATATACTTGCGCTTGAATATTTTTCTCCGTAATCTGAAAAGTATTCGGTATCGGCTGGATTAAGCGCGGATGTAATTTTACCGAAGGGAAAAGCACGCGTGATTGCGATACGACGCTTCTAGGAAGATTTATCGTTTTATTTTACGCAATCCGATAGAAACGAGAGGATCGCGCGAGAGGACAATTGCAAGTTAATTATCGTGTGTCCGCACAGTTTCGATAGCAGATTTCAATCGGTGATCAGTTAACATTCGATTTGGAATCGATTGTTCGCAATTCTTTGCTCTTTTTTTTTTTGTTCGAAATAACACTGCACGTATATCCGGTCGTTCAACACTTGGCTCATTCAGTCCCACACAGTCGTCGCGAAATGGCAGCGTTCTATCTATCAGAGTAATCGCGCGAGTTTCCGTAAGTCGTTCGCGGATATTAAATGCGTCTTATCTCGCTCACGAAACGGGCGCTGCTCCGAGCAAGGAGTAGTAGATTTCGGACGCGCTTATCCGACCCCCGTGATTACGCGCACGCAAATTGGTGCATTTGGCCAACGCGAGAGCTCGCCGGCCGGCGAATCGAAGGATTTCATTTCGATTCGTCGATTCAGGAAGTATCGTGCGTCTGAAATAAAACCGAGATTCGTTTCATTCCACGCGCCAATAATTCATTTGCATGTCAGGAAGGAGAGTCAAAGAGGAGGCGAACGTACAGCCAAGAGCCAGCGGTGGTAGTTCAACGGAGGGAAACGTTCACGGCAGTTACGTGGGTAAGGTGAATTTTCAAGCTAGGGATTCGTGGGACAAACGAGTCGGGTCGAGACGCAACCACCGGAAGCGCCATTACTGGTATTAATAATCGCGATTACGCGATGGTACGGGTAGCCGTTCGAGCGCTCCCTCGGGAGAGCGAGAGCGTCGTTGTAATTGGCTCCGATAAGATAACAAAGTTCTATCACAAGCGCGTCCGCGCCCTGTAACTATTTGCTTCTAATTAAACGTCCCGCCTGGCGATCGATTTGTTTTTATCGTCGATTCGAGAGGATCGCGCAGACGGACGTTGAAACGAGTCTTTGTCGAGGATCCTCATTTACTTTCGTTGCCTTTTATTAATTGCCATCGGTACTGCGCGACGTTTCTTTTTTTCTTCTCGTATTGTTTCCTTTTTTTTTCTTATCGTCCCAAAGGTAAGGTCGATCGCGATGATACGGATCTTATTCCGTAGATGTTTATTTATAATATGTTTGCGCGAGCGAACGTAAAATACACATATTTTTATACGCAGCACGGTAAAGTATACGTGTTTTTTTTTTTTTATAATCTTTAGAAGACGGTGGTTTACTTTTAAAATCATACAATTTCTTTTTAATTAATTTTACTTAATCTATTATAATCCATTATGTCATTGTATTTTTTGCTTCAAAATATGAAGCACTTTTCAATGCCACTATAGTTTTCCTGTAGAAGCTAATTTTTTAATAACATAATGTTAAAATGCATGTGAATTAATAACTGGTTTTACGTGTCGTTATTATGTAAACTTCATTTATTTTCATTAATAATAGTGAAACGATAATTTTATGTTGATGTAAAACATTAATTTAACGGTAAAATTATTTAAAATATATTTATATATGTTCTTCTCGTTCTTTATTCTTTTTTGTTTTTCAATGAAATTATAACTCAGAAATTTCAGTGGATATTGAAATATGGAATACTCAACGCTCTGAAAAGTGGAGGAGCTAAACAATCCTTCACGTTAGAAGAGATGAAAATATTGCCGTTATTTTTTACGTTAACGAATTGTTCAAAACAACGACGCAATTTAAAAATCGGACATAACTGATTTTTTCAAACGAATGTCTGCTTCGTAAAATGTGCAACCGATATTTGTTGGAGAAATTACTCGTGACCGAGCATATCAGAATTACTTCCCGGAAATATTCGGTTTGACTAATTGAGAGATATGAAAAAGGGAACGTGATTTGCACGCGTAAACTTGCATATTCACGCTATTATGTACGTTATATTTAATTTTCCGGTAATTAGAGAAAACACGATTGGAATTATCGATGGAATTCTGATAATATTTCTCCTTTTCGCTGCGCACGAGAAATCGATCGCACGGTATGCGCCGCGTGAAATTCGACCTCCAGGATTGCTGCAATATTTTCCGCGATAAGACTGAATATTCAACAAGCTTAAGATTTTTTAATAAAAACTTTATTCATTTCCGATAAAATCCCGATTAAACTAACAGTAAAGCTCACACCTCAGTATACCTAATATGTATATGGATCGCATTCTAGTATCATCAAATTTCAATTATAAAGAGGTATTCCAGTCTTTTCATATAAGAATTTAATCAAATGTTAAAAATAAATATTGAAAATAAATATAAGAATAATTAATATACATGTAGGCATTCCTGTCAATTTTTTCAAATTTTTTGTCCATATAGGTTTTTTCGAATAATTTTGCAAAATAGCTGAAATTCTTACAAGAAGGAGGGTTTTAAATAATTTAATTGTAAACAAAATATAAGAATTTTAAAAAGTTATATGGATATAAAAGAATGAGTTAAAATAAAGTTTCACCGTATTATTTCGTGTAAGAGTATAAAATGTTCATTTTATTCAAATATGACTTCACACTAATGGCAACATCGTTTCTATCAAAAATAATAATACAATTTTAATAATAAATTATAGTTTTTCTGCTTAAATTTTATTTAATCGTGATCTTGCATTTTTTGTGCTCTCGTGTTAAGATAAGAAAAGTCACTCCCCTCGACTTTTTTAAGAACCTCCTTAATGTAGAATAATTTTGTATGTTTCTTCGAGTTACATTTTACTATATTCTGCATATTCCGCGTTTCCCTTGTACATATATCGAATTGAATTAATGTAATTGCTCAAATTATTAACGTAATCGAATATGCTAACGTATTGCTTTGTATCAAGAACGAAACTTGGTATTTTGCAATATTCCTTAGATGGAAGCCCCACCTCTATCCTAATTCAATTAGCGTCAACATATAGATATACAGAGATCTGTGAGACGATACTCCTAACAGCAGCAGATCGGATCGCACGGGATACAAGTCGCGGCATAGAATTACATATCGAATATTCGTGGATGCAGCAGCATCGAAGCTGCATGTAGCATACGTGTCTGCGTGTACACGCGTGCTCTGCCTTTAGGCATTAGACAATACCTGGGTCGCGTATCAACGACGTATCTATCGTCGTTGTATGTCCTGATACATCATCCCTTCTCCGAAGGATAACATCACGTTGTTAATACGAGAAAATTAACACGCGATATTTTAGGATTTCGAGCATTAGCACAATCAAACGTAGTTCGAAATACAGTACGTTGGATCTTGAGAAGAATTGAGGAACGACATTAAGGCTTTTTTACGAAATATAGTTTTATTCTTGATAAAAATAAAAATAAAATATACATATGTATATATATAAATTATAAGACAATAAATTTTTTAAATAAGAGATACAAGAGATGTTTTTTTATTTAGAAATATATATTGTCTTATAATCGATAATGTTGAATCTGAAGAAAATCTAGATATAATAAATTAATTTATGGAATTCTCGCTCTGTACACATATTACATATTTATGAAATTATGCCCATATTGTTTAAATGTCTAGATAAAACGAAGGTTTTAAGAAATTCAATCAACTATTAATACAAAATATTCGAGGTATATAATTCGTATTTTTCTTAATAATGTGTTAGTAGATAATTCAATCGTACAACAAAAAGTAGAGAGATTTATACTTTCATATCATGAACGCTCGTGATACACATCTTAATATATAAACAAACATACAATTTACATACATATTTTATACATTATAGACAATCATACTATCACACAAATGAGAATTAGACTCAATGCACACGTATATAAATTCAATATAGATTTCATTTTATAGCGATCGATGCGATCGAAAGAAGTGCTGACAGTAATACCAGCAAAACGTAGTTTCGAAATTCGTAAAATAATCAATAAAGATTCTTATTTGCATTATGCTTCATCACATTGGCTGTTGTGGAGGGTAAATTAATGGATACCAAACCGGTACTTGAATATACTGCACGAAGCACAAGGGCGGTGCTCTGGGGAAAAATTCCCTTGCATGCGGATTCAAAGGCGATATTTGGATTTTCGAAACTTGATTCAGATGCGACTGCAATTCTTTTCGATCCATCCCATACAAATCGGCCATTTCTAGATATTTTTTCCAAAGATCTTTGCAGCAACCTATAGTAAGCAAAGCGACTGGATCGCCTACCACTGCTACAAAACATTTCGCTCTGGTCAACGCAGTGTTTAATAAGCGTGGATCAGTTAAAAAGCCGTAGTCCTTGATTTTTACCTCGGCGGACGATCTGTAACAATCGATACTATGTACAAGCGTTCTAAAGTAAAATGTGCTAGTGTCATTTGTAGCAAAGTCGATACCTGTCAGATATCCTTGTCCGGACTGTACTGATAAAAACTGCGGTGAATTGTTTGCCTTGGACGTTTAACACCCTCTCGACAGACACGTCGAAAAGTAAACGCTTGCGCAATTCGATTCGCAATCGTTGTACTTGTTCAGGATAATACGACAAGACTCCAATAGAGCCGTCGTTATATGGACCCCATTGTTGCGTCGGCCATGCTCTTCTCAATTCCAGTACACGATTCGCTAGTTCTTCTGCTTCCGTGGCATGGTGATATCCCGTAGAACATCTAGCCTAGTAATTAGAAATCGATCTAAATGATCCCTTTATTTTGAAGTCCAATTGAAGAGTTTAAGCCAAAAAAAACAGTACATTTTAATTGTCAAATCTTTTACAAAAAACTATCTGATTAAAAAAATTTACTATCTAAGAATATCTTTTTTTATTTCCGTATGGCCTACATACACAATAATTTATAAATATATACAGTAAATCGACAAAATAATTTAAACAGAAAATACGTAGGATTTTTTTCGACAGACTGCATCAAGCCTTTTATTCTACATTAGTCTCAATGTTTTGAAATAATCCGTGTACCTGTTCTTCCGCGCCGTTAACAGCATAAAATATCAATGGTTTAAGGACTGGGTGCTTCAATAGTTTCATGTTAGCAGGTTTAACCATCCCGTCATAAAACGTTTCAGATGTGTACTTGATTATATCCGCGTGTGCGCGATAATTCTGACATAAATGTATCCGACATGGATGTTCCGGCGGATAGTACGCGTACATTCTCTCCAGAAGACTAATGCCCAATCCTCGCTCGTTCGCTAGTATGCTGTAGATTTCTGGTGCGAGTTGCATTTGATCACCTGCCAGAAGCAAGCGAGTTTCTCGGTTCGCCAAAGTCAGAGCTATCAATGCCTCGCATTCCATAGCCTGAGCCGCTTCGTCGATAACTATGTGAGTTGGCGACAATTTAAGGCTCATCAGGCAGCTGGATGTTGCCAATGTTGTAACTATTAGACCACACTTTTGAAGATCTGCTGCAACTGGATCGCGGAAACGACCGTGTTCATCCATTAAGCAGTACTTCTGCACCGTCGGATGTACCTAAATCGCGAAAATAACCAAGTCGCCAATGATAGATATGGCTACTAAAAAAAAAAAAAGAAATTAGATAACATTGCTCACCTACCGTATTCAAAGAACGCAGTTTGTAATATATCCTAACGGGCTTAAGTCTTATGTCTTTATCCTTATTGTACCAAATATGGAAGAATTCCTTAATGTAAAGATCGGCGGCGCTGTTGCTATGCGTACACAAAAGTATTCGGTTGTTCGTATTTTGTACAAGCATACGCAGCATGTGCGCTATGGTGAATGTCTTTCCCGTGCCGAATGGTCCCAACAAAAGGACTGGTGGTGAAGTCTTAATCGACAATGTTATTACAGTGACTGCTTGTTTCTGTTCATGATTGAGCGGCGAGTCCAATAATAGATTAGAGAGGATACTAAGATTACCGGAGTCAACCTGTAGAAAGTCATAGACAATCTCTTTGTCAGTCTTGTGCTGTTCATCCATTAGAAACACCAGGTTCATATCCCCGAGACTATCTACTGCCAAGTGCCATTCACAGAAGTTCAAACGATTCAACACGAATTGTACTTCGACCTCGAGTTCGTTGTGCTCCTTCAAGTCCCAACAAGCCACACATTCTTTGCTTAGTCTCACATGTATGGAGTGCGAGTTTTTATCTTCGATGTGAGCTTCGAAGACGTTAAACTTTGTTTCCTTGCCCCATAATTTGAGTAGAACGCTATTACAACTGCGCTGTAGGAGTCTGCCACTCTGCGTATCCTCCAAGATGTCCCGACTGAGTGGGATCTGTGGTGACAATAAATTTCACGCGTTGGATATAAGCGATCAAAAGAGAAATGACGTATCATTATTTGATCTTAAATGGGGAGTGAACGTAATTGAGCGGGAACTGAATTCGATTGGACGCACACTAGTGCATATTAAAGTCGCATTGTACACTGATTTTATTTATGTAAAAGTAATAAATCTCTATGTAAAAATACAAATATTTCAATTATATATATAATTATATATATATATAAAATGCATATTTCACTTAACAGCGCGCACGCACGCACGCACACACACACACACACAATAAAATATATTAAAGATTTCATAACTCAATCCGTTTCTTATATTTATATTAAACTTACATTTTTACATTAATTTATATACGATGACTTTAATGTGCACCAGTTTGCACTGAGTGCGTCCAATCGAATTCACTATAAACGAATATATTTATATATAAACGAATCTAGCAGAAAATATACACGCGAATAAGTGTAATATAAAAGTGTATAATGCATGCGTTCCCAAGAGAAAACTGTGACAAACCGTACAATGAATAAGTAGATATCACGCACGATCGTGTGCCAGCGCGGTGAACAGGGAGTAAAAAGCAGCAAGAGAGTCTCCTAGAAGCCAGAAAGAATCGCACCTGAGCGAAGAGCTCACCCGGCGGCGTGTATTTAACGATGGTGGAGGCATCGCTGTTGAACAGTACGTAATGCGACATGAGACGTAACCATGAGAGCTGGTTGTATCTTGAAATCTGCTCGTGTCGTGCGACCTCTTCGAGGGTGATCAACTCGTGCATGCGACCCCGGTAGTTCTTTGGCGTTAACCGATTGTCTGACAACGTATTCTGAGTGAGGACAAAGTTCTGTCTGTCTGGACATGGGTAGATCCGCGATAGTTTGGTCTCTCGTGGATTGGCGTGCGGCATGAAGGGTGAATAGAATTCGTAGGGGTTCTTCCATCTCAACGATATTTGCGACTGCTGATAATTTGTTGCTCTTTGTATCCGTTCGTAGTCTTTGATAAGCAAGTAGTCCGCACAGATTCTCTGGAGGTATACTGGCGCACTCAGGAAGCCAAAGACTAGGTCTTGCCGATATGTGCTGTGTTTTTTTGCAGTGAAACCAACAATCACCAGATATTGTCTCTTATCTTCTTGAGAATCACCCAGGTAGGGACCATGCCACCACTCCTGCCCATTCGTCACTCCAATTTTTACACCATCCTTCTTTTGCACTGACTTCAGGAAGAAATTGGCTCGATGATCGTCGGATATCAAGGCCACATTCTGTAATTCTTGACCACCTTTCGGGATCGAAGATTGGTAAGGGTAAAACAGGTGAAATGGAATAGCTTAAGTAATCGCATTAATGTATTACTTGCTGAGATGTTGCAAGTATAATTTCTCTACTGTTATGCACTGTTTTATGTGTTATCAAAGCAATTGGAAACAAATTGATGATCATAAACAGGAAGTTAATTGTAACGTAACTGACAAAAAAATATATTAATCTAGAAGAGATAAAAAAGGTCTGTTGTTTGAATATTTTTCGAAATTATTATTGTACATGTATTATATAGGATTATTATAAAACTGAAAATTAAAGAAAAGTCAGGGAATTTTGCAAAATTTTCTGCAAAATTAAAATTCTTGGCTTAAAACAAATTCAATATGTGTACATTATACCTACGGTTTTAAAATATTTAATAATTAAATGCAAGTAATGTTAGAAACATTAATAATAATTTACATTGCTATATTAATTAATCTTAAAAAAATATATTGTACTGTACTATATATATATA